TTGTAATGATTAGAGGGGCAATTGCAGTATCTACATTGCTCACTGCAGGTGTCACTGCTAGAAGTCCTCAGAAGTCGCTGACAGCAGAATGGAGAGGAAAAGATTCTAACACGCAAAAGATAACCCCAGCATGGAACATGTCCTGCCCCACGCACCAGGACAGGGCCAAGTCAGAGTCCCACAGCAGGCCCGCCATCTCAGGGAAATACACACCATGTGGGCACGAGTGCCACTGTGTGTGCGCGCATGTTTGGTGTCTCAAAGGACTGGGCTTCTTTTTGTTTGTTTGATGGTTCGTTTTGTTTTGGAGATTTGGGGGGTTTGGTTTGGATTTTTGCAATTTGTTTGGTCCATGAAGTGGATTCTGAACTTGAATGTCTTTCTTTTGCCCTGAGTTATTTTCACAAGATCCAAAGATGCTTTCCCAGGGGAATGTTTTGGGAAGGAGCTCAGGACGGTTAACTTAGATCTGATTCTCCTGGTTACATCACAGAGATGAGAATACTAACATAAGCTTTGTTGTTGTTCTTTTGGATCTGAAGCAAGTTCACCTCAGGAAATGGATAAAGATAAAAATGTATTCAAGTGACAGTGACTTGGAATAGCTCACAGAAAGGGTTCTCCTATGTGATGTCAGAAAGCAGAACATTGTTGAGTTTTGTATTAATAATGTGCAGCTGAACTATGTCCATTCTCCATAGGGGTAGGTGGGGGAAGGGGCAGGCTAAACTCCCCCCCCCGGAGGAGTGAACATGTGAGGGCTGTAGGCAAGTATCCCTCCACACACTGTAAACACAGAGGCAGACACGGCTGGATACTCTCCATTCCGTCTACGAGATACGTGTGAACAAAACCAGACGATGCCCTGACCCCCTATAGCTTACAGCCTAGGAGTTATTATAGAAGGACAGAGGCAGAAAGTGGAAGTGTCTTTCATTTCTCACAATACAGTAATAAGAAAGAACATTAAAGAGTACCCGTTTGAATGCCCTTGTTTTGGTAGACGAGGAAACTAAACCATTCGGAAATAGTTACTGAGAACAATGAGGCTGTCTGCTGAGTACTTTATACCAAGTTCTCCTTTGCTCTTCCCCACAGCCACGTGGAGGGACAATGTAGTTTGGGCCATTTCCTTTCAAAGAGGTCCAGTCACTAGCTCTCAACAAATGATTGATGAAGTAAGGAAAGAACGAACAATCCATTGGGGGGGTGGTGAGGGATTCCTCCTTCAGATCAATAGGTCATCATTCCCTACCCAGCTGGGTCCTCTTCCAGGGCTCCCTGTGTCTGTGAACAGAGACGTCCCTCTCACAAGAAACCTAAGGGTCTCCTTAACACCTCTCTCTCTGATACACACCTAGAGAACCGTCATCAGGTCTTGAGAACAAGAATTTTCCTGAATCCTAAACTCTCCCAAGTCCATCCACAGCTCCCCACCTTCACCACCTCTACCCTTGTCCAAACCACTGCCATCTCTCACCAGAGGACTGCAGCCCCCTCCTGACTGGGTCCCCACATCCGTCATGGGCTCTCATCATTCTCCTTTCCACACTGTAGCAAAAATAACCTTTCAAAAGACAAATCCCGGCTGGCGCCTGTGGCTCAAGTGGCTAAGGCGCCAGCCACATACACCTAAGGTGGCGGGTTCAAATCCAACCTGGGCCCACCAAACGACAATGACGGCTGCAACCAAAAAATAGCTGGGCGTTGTGGCAGACGCCTGTGGTCCCAGCTACTTGGGAGGCTGAGGCAGGAGACTCACTTGAGCCCAGGAGTTGGAGGTTGCTGTGAGTTGTGATGCCAGAGCACTCTACCTAGGGGGATAGCTTGAGGCTCTGTCTCAAAAAAAAAAAAAAGACAAATCCCCTCTTTTTCTTTTTCTTTCCTTTTCCTTCCTGAGCAATTCAGGCCCAAAGCCACTATGTGGGTCAATGCAAGGCAGGCCTCCCAGCCTAAGGTGGGAGAAGTTCCCTCAAAGGAGACCTCCAAGATACAACACAGGCTCACATAAGTAGAGGGGACCCACACCAACTCCACTCTGATGTCTGACCCCCTGGACTTGGAGTAAAAGTCAAGGATGTCAGCAGTGATGGAACCTCCTGGCACGGCTCTCATGGGAGAAGAGACCACAGAATCCAAGGACAAAGCAAACCCTCTCTACTGTCAGGTTTTCAGCCTGTTGGCTCTGATGCACATAACACCCATCTTGGTTTTTACTTCTTACCCCTTCCTGCTGAACTTTTTACAGGGAACCTCAAAAATCAATGTTGAATTCATCAGAAAGTAGACAGAGCTCACATAAGAGCAACACCTGTCCCCTGTTCAGCCCCAAGCTCAGCCTGCTGGAAAATTGTTGAGTTAACACATGCAGCCGGTAGTTTATATTCCCAAGACCTTAGTCTCATGGGAGGGCTAGTGAATGAGGCAATAATCTATTCTCTTTTACGTTTTCAAAAATTAAAAGATATACACCTATCAGAATGGCCAAAATCTAGAACACAAACAACACCAAACGCTGACCAGAATGCAGACCAACAGCAACTCCCATTCATTGCTGCTGAGAATGGAAAATGGTGCAGCCACTTTGGGTAACAGTTTGGTGGCGTCTTACGAAACTAAACATGCTCCTGCCATACGGCCCAGCAATCAGGCCCCTCGGTGTTTACTCAACGAAGTCGACAACTTATGTCCACATGAAACACTGCACATGAATATTTATAGCCGCTTTATTCATAATTGCCAAAACTTAGAAGCAACTAAGATGTTCGTTCTTCAGCAGGTGAATGGATAAATAAAGGGTGGTACATCTACACCACAGACTGTCATTCAACATTAAAATGAAACGAGCTGTCAAACCTTGAAAAGACCTAGGGACCTTGAATGCATGTTCCTGAGTGAAGGAAGCCAATCTGAAAAAGCTACACAGTGCGTTGCTAACTATGTGACATTCTGGAAGAGGCACAACCGTGGAGACAGTCAAGAGATCAGTGGCTGCCAGGGATTCGGAAGGATGTGAGGGGGATGAACAGGTGGAACACAAAAGATTTTCAGGACAATGAAACTCTTCTGTATGATAATATTAATACAGTGGTTGATACCAGTCATACACAGAGAACTCCCGTTATCTGGAATTCAAGTAACCACTACTCTCAAGCAACAAGGAGGCAACTTGGCCAAAAACAAAACAAACAAACAAAAAATCAGAGTTTAAACTTGGTGCTCCCTGCTCCATCAGTAAGCAGAGGCTTCATGCGTCATTCCCAGGGGGTCCTGTGTGTTCTCTGTAACAGTTTCAAGTGTTAATCTGTGTTTCTTGAAAAAAGGATAGTGAAGTTGGAAAGTGTATTGGCCGCCATTTAACTAAAATTGGACAGTCCACTGTACGTACAAAGCTGTTTTATAGTACAGTAGAACTGTTACAGTACATGAAGCTTGTCTTTATTTGCCTTCATTTCTTTTTAATTAGTGTATTTCAATATTAATATCAAGTCAATACAGAGTTGACCATGTGGAATGGTACAGTACGGGGTACGGAATTAGTTAGAGCTATTTTTAATAGTAACTCTCAAGCAACTGGAAACTACATGTATATCTACTAACGCCCATGGGTGTAGGATAATGGGGAGATTACTGTATATTAGTCCAGACCCACAGAATGTGCAACACCAAGAGTGAAGCCTAATGTAAAGTGTGGGCTGTGGGAGATGATGGTTGGTGTGGGTTCATCATTTGTAACAAAGGCACCACTCAGGTGGAGGATACTGGTAACAGGGAGGCTGGGCATCTGGGGCTGGGGAGTACAGGGACATCTATGTACCTTCTGCTCAATTTTGCTGTGAATCTAAAACTGCTCTGAAAAATAAAGTGAGAAAACAATTTGAAGATTATCTGGAGAAATGCACAGGAAATTGATGACAATGGTGGCCTCCAAGGAGTAGAACTGATCTGGGGAAGAGGAGTATGTGAGACTCTGCCAGTCAGGGCTTGCTTGGCAAGCAACAAAAGCCACTCTGACTGATTTAACAGAAGAGGAAGTTTGTTAGAAGGGCACTGGATGGCATAGACTCTGCCAGCATCAGGCTTGCTGGGCTAAACAGCCAGTGTCAACGCCCCAAATCAACGCCTTCTGTAGCCAGAAGCAGGCTTTCTCTCAGAAGGAAGGGAGGACCCACCACACAGCAAGAAGGCTCAGAAGTCAAGTAGCCAAAAGAATGACCATTCCACTTCTAAGTGTGCACCTGAAAAAACTGGCAGCAGGGACTCGCTGCAGCAGTATTCACAATAACCAAAAGGCAGAAACAACCCAGGTGTCCACCAAGGGACAAATGGATAAACCAAACGAGGTATATCTATACAACAGACCATTACACTGAGCCCTAAGAACTAATGATACATGCCATGCCATGGGAGAATCTTTCTTTCTTTTTTTTTTTTGAAACAGAGTCTTACTTTGTCATCCTCAGTAGAGTGCCATGGCATCATAGCTCATAGCAACCTCAACCTCATGGGCTCAAGCAATCCTCTTGCCTCAGACTCCCAAGTAGCTAGGACTATAGGTGTCTGCCACAACGCCTGGCTATTTTAAGAGATGGGGTCCTGCTCTTGCTCAGGCTGGTCTTGAACTCCTGAGCTCAGGCAATCTACCCACCTAGGCCTCCCAGAGTGCTGGGATTACAGGCGTGAGCCACTGCGCCAGACCTGACATGGCTGAACCTTGAGGATGTCATGCCAAGTGAAATGAGCCCATCACAAAAGGACAAAGCATATATCATTCCACTTACACAAAGCCTAGAGTAGTCAAATTCACAGAGACAGGATAGAGCCTGCTAAGCCTGTAGGAAGGAAGGGAGAGTTGTTTAATGAACACAGAGCTTTGGTTGGGAATGTGAAAAAGTTGTGGGTCTAAATGGTGGTGCTGGTTACACAATCTTGTGAGTACACTTCAAGATGATTAAAATGATAAATATTTTCTTATGTGCATTTTCCCACAATAATAAAGAATTACAAATACCCACTATAGTCTCTGCCCACTGTATATTCTTTACAACATAGGTATATATTCCTTATGTAAAACAAGTTTTTTTAAGGGATTTAACTTTATACATTTATAGGATGTTCTCTATGTGAAAGTGGCTCTACGGGATCTTAGAAATGGAAAATTATTACACTTGATCTTAGCCAAAAGGCCAAGAAGCGATAAGAAATGGAAAATTATTGAGAAAAACTGCAAAAGCCCAACCCCAGCTTCACGTCACATACAATGAGAATGTCATGATTCCAGCAATTTCACATCCAAAATGATTCTTTTTTTTTTCTTTTTTGAAGCAGAGTCTCACTTTGTCACCCTGCATAGAGTGCTATGACATCATAGCTCACAGCAACCCCAAACTCTTGGCCTCAAGCAATCTGCTTGCCTCAGCCTCCCAAGTAGCTGGGACTACAGGCACCCACTACAATGCCTGGCTATTTTTAGAGATGAGGTCTCAGTCTGGCTCAGGCTGGTCTCAAACTCCTGAGCTCAGGCACTCTAACCTACCTTGAGCTCCCAGAGCACTAGGATTATAGGCATGAGCCACTGCACCCAGCTTCCAAAACAGTTCTTGGCACAAGATTTATCACTCCTCAAAATTGTAATGAAAAATCATATTTTTAATACCTGGCATATTAATTTCAGAAAGCGAGTAATGATTGCAGGATTTTAACGAAAAGACCTCCAGTTGTAAGGTGAGAATGTGTGTGTTTTCTTTTCTTTCTTTTTCTAGAGACAGAGTCTCACTTTGTCACCCTCGGGAAAGTGTTGTGTGGCCACAGCTCACAGCAACCTCCAGCTCTTGGGCTTAGACAATTCTCTTGCCTCAGCTTCCCGAGTAGCTGGGACTACAGGTGCCCACCGCAACTCCTAGCTATTTTTTATTGTTGTTGTTGTTGCAGTTTGGCCTGGGCTAGGTTTGAACCCACCACCCTCAGTATATGGGGCCGGCGCCCTACTCACTGAGCCACAGGCGCCACCCCATATGTGTGTTTTCTAAAACAGGGAACAGTGGAGGGTGTTGGAGCTGTGACTAGACTGGAGAGCAAGGCGATCACAAAGAACAGGTGAGTCACCCTTAACTTCACAGCTGACACTGCACTATGATACCACAGTGTTCCTTCGAGGTGTCAGAGATGTGCAAGCCAGATTAACCTATCCACAATCCTTTAAAGAGCCTAAGTACACGTATGCACTCAGCACGGTAACCTCAGTCTCCATTCTACCAAAAGTATGGTCAAGTGCGAAGGACAAATTTTCCAGCTCTTCAATGGCCCATGTTGAAATCCTTGAGAGCAGAGAGTATGTTCTGTTCCTAATGCCTGACCCAGATTAGATGCTTAAAAAATGTTTGAGATGATGAATGAATAAAGAAATTAAGTGGAGATCTGAAGAACTTCCCTCACAAGTCTCCACAGCAATAGTCAGCGGCCTCTTCTTCAATACTCAGACTGACAGCAAGCTGTCAGTCAGCCCAAACCGAGCTGTGACTGTGCCGAGTGGTGGCCAGGTGGTCAGGAAATTATGAATTTAATTTGTTCCATAGGCACATATTGAATGTCTACTGTGTTCCAGACACTGTCCTAAGTGCCGGGTAAAAAGGACAAGGAAATGCTGCCTTTGCGCTTTCATTATATTAATCATAATTTTTTACTTTATAGAAATCTGAAGCTTTAACATCTGGGGCCTTGCTGACCTTGGAGAGACTGTCCTTCCCAGGGCTAGCCAATTCCCAGAGATAGTAAACAATTTGCTTGCAAGTGCAGCATTTAAACCACCTGAATCCTGAGTCCCCACTACCTCCTCTATCGGACTGACACTCAAAGCTACTATTTCCCCGCTCTAACCCCCTCTGGGCCAGGTACCAGACAACTAGAGACCATCCCTATGCCCTGAAGGCCACTGAAACCACTCAAACTGGCCAACCCTAAGCCTGCCTACCCTGCCCCACTTTTCCTCCCCACAGAAACCATAATAAAGACTCTTGTCCACACCCTCCCTTCAATCCCTCTATCTCCTGACCGGCCCAGGAGCCTCCCCAGAAGGCCCAATGTTGTGTGGTGTCCCCTCCTGTTGGGAACTGTGAGCAACAAACTAGCTTCATAATGGCAAACATTTCCTGATCTGTTGGCCTCACTACTCTTGAATAATGAAAAGACCTACATTCTAAAAGAGTTGTTTACAGGATAGAAGGAGAGACCAGCATGTCAAACTACAGTTACAGTACAGGATGCTTTCTCTAAAGGAGGTGCAGACGAGGGCCGTGGCAGCACAGTGGAGGGAGAAACTGATGTGAGCCCCCAGAGAGTCTGGTATTTCCAGTGGGACAGGCAACCTATAGTGGAGTGAGGAACAGAGAGAGGAAGAGGTGCTCAGGACAGGTTCCACAGAGCAGGCCCAGAGCCGGGTTCTGGACAGGAAGGAGTCAGGCTGAGGGCTGTAGGTATTAGGGAAGGAAAACAAACATCAGGTGGAGGATTGGTAGCTAACAGCACATTTAACTTGCCTTGTACTTTTTCCTGGGAGAAGTCTAAAATGAAGATGGGTTGTTACTGAGGGAGGGAACAGACCCAGGGAGAGAAGACTGGGGGGTAGAGGAGGCTTCCCCCGGGGCAGCAAGAAGAAAGGAGGTGGCCCTCTTCACCCTCCTGCCCTTTGGACATGGCCGCTATTCTGAGGAAGATTCTGGCTGGTTGTTTTGCCCCCACAGAGGAGGGAAGGGGCAGTAATTTCACCCCAGTCCAGAGTTGAGCTTGCAGTGGAAGAAAGGAGGGATCCCCTGTTTTCTTTTAGCCCAGATGTTTAAAATATGAACATCAAGCAGTTTCAGTTTCCTTTCTTAAATTCAGGTTCCTTGCCGGTAGAGAGGCTGGGAGGACTGGGTATCTGACGTCCATCCCAGTACTAATACGCTCCAACTCCTTGATGTGGGACCTATTCTAGGCACAAAAATATATGGTGTTATGGTCTCAATTGCATCCTCTCAACCACCAAAATTTATTTGTTGAAGCCTCAGCCCCCAGGACCTAACAATGTGACTGTCTTTGAAAATAAGTGGCTTTTACGAGGTAATTCAAGGTCATATGAGTGAGCTGTAATCCAATCTGACTGAGTCCTTCTGAGAAGAGGAAGTTTGGGCACAAAAAGAGACATACCCGGGGTGCACACAGAGGGAAGCCCACGTGAAGCCCGTGCTCCCTTTTTGTGGCGTCTCTCACAGCGAGAAGGCAGCCATCTAGGAGGCATGGAGAGAGGCCCCAGGAGAGACCAACACGTGCCGACACACTTCAGAACTGAGAGAAAGTAAATTTCTGCTGCTTAAGCCCCTTAGTCTATGGCAGCGGTTCTCAATCCTCTCCCCCTTTTCACAGGGGTCGCCTAAGACCATCCAGCTTATCGGATATTTACATTACGATTCATAACAGTAGCAAAATGACAGTTATGAAGTAGCAACAAAAATAATTTTATGGTTGGGGGTCACCACAACACGAGGAACTGTATTAAAGGGTTGCGGCATTAGGAAGGTCAAGAACCACTGGTCTATGGCATTCTGCTACAGCAACCCCAGCAAGCTAATACATATGGCAGCAAATTGTTAAAGATTTAAATTATCCAGGAAAAGGACTTCCTCAACAGGAAGCTAAGAAACACTCTTTGCTTCTTCGGATGTTCAGCCAATTCACCCAGGTCTCCGTGCCATGACTAATAAGATGCAATTTAATATAACAAACATTGACCCGATGCCAGTCACAATGAGAGGCACTGGCAAGCACATCTAATTCTCCAAGGTCAAGAGGATTGAGAGGGGAGGGAGAAAGAACAGGTCCATCAAAAATCTAACTTTAGCCAAAAAAAAAAAGCACAATCTCTCCCTCTTTTCCGTGTGACCTGAGTCTCAAGCAACTGAAGGATTCATCTGCATGGGGATTGCCTCCGTGTCTCCCAGAGGTGCTGATGAGCCACAATTAACCACGAGAAGGAAGAGAAATCTAAGGGCCCCCACACTCGGATGAGCCATCCCTAAGAGGAGAAGCTAAAGAATCCTCCAACTCCAAGGGAGAAGACAGGGGAGGAAGGAAAGAGAACTAGAGAAATTTCCAGAGTTTGTCATCAGCACGGCTTCCCTCCCTAGGACCGTAATCGGCAGAAGGCAGGTTGCAAAGCACTCCAAATATTCTTGGATACGCCCAAAAAAGTGTAGAAAACTCACATCTAAGCTCTGTCTTTGGATAAAAATATGATCAGACAGGGGGATAAGGAAGAGAAAGAAGTGGCAAAAAGGACAGAAAGGTTCAGGGCTTGTTGAACATCTGTGGAAGCTATTCCATTATCATTAATATTTTAGTCATCAACGACGTTAAAATGGAAAAGCAGAGACGAAATGTTTTATCTCAACACCTTAAAAATCGAAGTCCCACACATCTGTCCACGGGGAACCTCGAACTAGCAGACATCTCAGGAAGAAAACCTTCCACCAGGAAAGCCCAGAATCCTCGTTTTTTTCAAGTGACAAGTGATGGTTCCAGGAGCATGGTCCCAGCAGAAGAGCATATCATAAAGATTTTTTTTTCTAGATGCTCCTTTTGATATTTTCCCTATTTATTCCTCCACAGCAGAGAAAACCAGTGGTTTGTACTTCCAGCGTCCCTGCCCCCTTCTCTCTCAAGAAAAGCTGGCAGTGGCTTCCAGAAGCTGGCTCTGCTCCTCCCATAATTCACTCTTGCCGACAGCCAGGGCCAGGACTGTCTGTCAAATGCACAAAGCAACCTCAGGCCAAAATGCTATAGCCTGTCATCCCAGGCTGCAGCAAGTGGGTGTCAGGTACTCTCAGGACAATCAGAGAATCATAGTCTGAGATTTGCAAAACTGTGAACCTAGTGTTTAGACCTGAAAAAACACCCTACTGATTTTTACAGGAACACATGACAGAGATCACGTATTCTGGAGGGAAAAGCACTGGATAAAGAGTCTTTGGGGGCTCAGCGCCCGTAGCACAGTGGTTACGGCACCAGCCACATGCACTGCAGCTGGCAGGTTCAAACCCAGCCCGGGCCAGCTGAACAACAATGGCAACTGCAACAAAAAAACAGCCAGGCATTGTGGTGGGCACCTGTAGTCCCAGTTACTTGGGAGGCTGAGGCAAGAGAATTGCTTAAGCCCAAGAGTTTG